TCATGATCTTATTGTGAAGTCACACTGGCCATTATCTCATGATCTTATTGTGGAGTCACACTGGCCATTATCTCATGATCTTATTGTGAAGTCACACTGGCCATTATCTCATGATCTTATTGTGAAGTCACACTGGCCATTATTTCATGATCTTATTGTGAAGTCACACTGGCCATTATCTCATGATCTTATTGTGAAGTCACACTGGCCATCACCTCATGATCTTATTGCGGAGTCACACTGGCCATTACCTCATGATCTTATTGCGGAGTCATACTGGCCATCATCTCATGCCCTTATTTGAGGAATCACACTGGCCATCATCTCATGCACTTATTGTGGAGTCACACTGGCCATCATCTCATGATCTTATTGCGGAGTCACACTGGCCATCACCTCATGATCTTATTGCGGAGTCACACTGGCCATTACCTCATGATCTTATTGCGGAGTCACATGCCCATCATTCATGCACTTATTATGGAGTCACATGCCATTACCTCACACTGGAGTCACACTGGCCATCATCTCATGCCCTTATTTGAGGAATCACACTGGCCATCATCTCATGCACTTATTGTGGAGTCACACTGGCAATCATCTCATGATTTTATTGCTGAGTCACACTGGCCATTTTCTCATGCACTTATTATGGAGTCACATGCCATCATCTCATGATCTTATTGTAGAGTCACACTGGCCATTATCTCATGCACTTATTGTGGAGTCACAATGGCCATTATCTCATGCACTTATTGTGGAGTCACACTGGCCACCACCTCATGCACTTATTGTGGAGTCACACTGGCCATCACCTCATGCACTTATTGTGGAGTCACACTGGCCATCACTTAATGCACTTATTGTGGAGTCACACTGGCCATAATCTCATGCACTTATTGTGGAGTCACACTGGCCATCATCTCATGCACTTATTATGGAGTCACATGCCATCATCTCATGATCTTATTGTAGAGTCACACTGGCCATTATCTCATGCACTTATTGTGGAGTCACAATGGCCATTATCTCATGCACTTATTGTGGAGTCACACTGGCCACCACCTCATGCACTTATTGTGGAGTCACACTGGCCATCACCTCATGTACTTATTGTGGAGTCACACTGGCCATCACTTAATGCACTTATTGTGGAGTCACACTGGCCATAATCTCATGCACTTATTGTGGAGTCACACTGGCCATCATATCATGCACTTATTGTGGAGTCACACTGGCCATTTTCTCATGCACTTATTGTGGAGTCACATGCCATCATCTCATGCACTTATTGTGGAGTCACACTGGCCATTATCTCATGCACTTATTATGGAGTCACATGCCATCATCTCATGCACTTATTATGGAGTCACATGCCATCATCTCATGCACTTATTGTGGAGTCACACTGGCCATTATCTCATGCACTTATTGTGGAGTCACACTGGTCATCATCTCATGTACTTATTGTGGAGTCACACTGGCCATCACTTCATGCACGTATTGTGGAGTCACACTGGCTATCATCTTATGCACTTATTGTGGAGTCACACTAGCTATCACCATGGCCTGTGTTTCCCATGACTCCTTGAAGCACAATGGAAAGACAGAAAGGTGGTAACTTTTTCACTTCTAAGAATTAATTTAAAAAAGTTGCCCAATAAATCTGCTGGTTGAGTGGTTAGATCATTGGGCTCTCATGCTGAAGATGTGGGTTCTTTCCCAGGTAAGGTGATGGAGTTTCTATGTCGGAGGCAAAATAATACATCTTTACCTGTAGTCTGTGGTGACAGCACTAGCCATGCGGCCCTAAATTCTCAGCATCACCACACCCTGTCTCCACAGTCCTAAAAAGGTGGTTAAACAGAAAGCAGAGACAGTTTACAGTATATAGTTGGCATCTGTGGCTTAGGCACTGTGAAAGGGCTTCATAACTTTGAAGTGCCAGAGTGACTGAATCTGCAGGAGAACTAGCAGCAGACCACCATGCCCTGGTTTCAATTGTGGTATTAAGAGCCTGCCATTCAGGAAGCAGTGGCAAATTACTAAATGTAAAAATGCCTAATGAAATCATAAACAGCCAAAAAATGCTGGTTCTATAACATCCTGTACAAGATATGTAACTAAAAAATGTACCTGTAAATCTATGTTGTGAAGCTCCAGGTCTTGCATTTCCAGTAAAAATTGGGGTCACTTGTATCTGAAACTTGTTGTGTGGAAGCAGAACTACAATTCTGTTCTGTGTATTGTCTGCTAATGACTTCAGGAAGCTCAGAGCTGAAATACAGCACATTTATAATATAAAGAGAAGTGAAGACCATCTCATGGCAGAAAGAAGACTGGTTTGATTTGAATGAAATGAATGAATCAAGAATTGACAGCCCCGCACTCAGGACATTCCCACATGTGCTCAGTCTCCTTCTTCTTTAGTAGCCAACGAATAGTTCTTCTTCTTCTTCACTTCCTCTTTTACCGCTGTGGGTGACGAGAAAGATATAAGGTTCTATTTCTGGCTCTTCTGGCCGCCTCGACCATAGGCACATTGTGCTGTTGTAGAGCTTCTCTGATGTTATCCTTCCATCTTGTTCTTGGTCTACCTCTTGCTCTACGACCTTCTTCTACGAATAGTTGATATGCTAATAGTACCAGTTTTAACCTGATTAAAGGTCTGCCTTCGTCTCCTCCTCGGTAATGAATATTTTCCTTAATTTGTACACACCCTCACAATTTCCTAGGAAGTAAAGACATCACACATGATGCTGTCGTTATCACTCATTGAGTGCCAATTGGTCTATTAGGAGTTTAACATCATATGTCTAATGTGCTAATGTTGTTAAAACATCCCTTTATGTTTATTTTTGCTAAAACAAGTTTTCTTTTCCTCTTCTTTGTTTGATATGTTTTTGGTTTAGACAAATTTGTATTTTACTCATTTATACAGACTTGCTTTGTGTCCTGTCAAATCCAACAGCTAAATGATGAGAGAGTAAGAACCATTTTTGTGCATTTCTCTGTGTCATGAACAGCACAATATAAATGTCTTATCTTAAATTCCCTCCGAAACTGCTGGTACAGTAAAACTGTAAACTTTTAGCATGTTTATAAATTTGCATCTCAAACTCATTTTGAAATAGAAGTCTATGTCAGTTCTGTATGACCCAATAACGCAACACTAATCTGTGGATATGCCCTATTTCTAGGGCCTCCTTTAGGAAAGGGGGAATAAATCCAATACCCCCTAACAAGCACTTCATAAAAGGTAACTAACCAAGGGTTTGCTGAAACTGGATGTTTTAAGCATAAAGTGCAGAAATCACAGCCTAGCTTTAAACCACAACATACCAATCACCTTTTTAAGGGTGAACATGGAAGAAGAAGAATAGAAGACGTCTTCAAAAGAATTACAAATCAAGCAGCCATCTAAATACATATATACTGCATTAAAACATTTCAATTTTTTTAATGTCATAAAAAGCAACAGAAGATTACACTTCAGAAGTCTTTAACAATGTACACAATATTTACTTGTTCTGTTCATTCGTGTGATGAGTTTGTTCTGTAGTGGGAACTCTTTGCTGCTGGAGTAAAGAATGATCTCCCAGTGCTCTTGCCTGCTGGAAAACTGTTTGAGCTGCGTGATTTTGCTGCATCAAATCCTGTTGGTAATTGTAATGTGAAATGTTCACATAAAAATGTTGGCCTATGGGTCAAACTGGTGCTTGATCTTACGGTTCTGATGATCAAGAAAGGGTAGGGGAGGGGAGGGGCAGAGAAAGGTAGATGGAGACATAAAGAGAGGGAAGGAGGAAAAGGAGACAGAGAGAGAGAGAGAGAGAGAGAGAGAGAGACAGATTGAGAGAGAAGTAGATGGGGACCCAAAAAGAGGATGGGCAGGAAGTAACTGGAGAGAGAGAGAGAGAGAGAGAGAGAGAGAGAGAGAGAGAGAGAGGGGGGGGGGGTGAAATATACAACTCACAGACAAAATTGTGTTATTACAAAATAAACATTTGGAAAACAATATAGGCCATGAAATAAAAACACAGTGGAAATATAAACATATAATCATAGATTTTAACATGGTATCTACAGAAGATTCACCAGCCTTAAAAGACTGCCAATGACATGACACTACAGTTAAGCACCCATTTACTATACTTAAAGAATAGGGCCATAGATGTTTTCAAATCTTCAGAAAGCTCTCCTCCTTTTCTTCTTCCTCACCAAATATTGTTCTCTTCCTAATGTGCCATGTAACTGTGTCTCTTCACAGAAAACCAAGATATAGAACTAATGGAATTATTCTGGCCTGGCATTGTTTTGTTCTCCATTCTTCTTCTTCTTCTTCAGCATTATGAGCCCTTGAGGTTCATTGCTGCAGATATCACCCGCCTCCATCATCTCTTTGGCTGGCCTTCTCTTTCCAGTTGGTGACACCAAGTGTTTGCAGGTCTCTCTGGATATTATCTCCCCATCGTCTTCTTGGACTGCCTTATTATGTTCTCCATGCTTAATTTAATTCAAAAGTGTTCATCCAGAAATAAAATGGTTTTAAATAAACATTCCTACTGTCAGGAATAGAATTTCTTTTAAATTTTTCTAAACCAGGAGGTCTCAACTGACGATGGCCAGTTTTTAAAAGATAAAAAGGACAAACAGTCTCCATGGTAAAGAAATCAAGCCATCTGAGTTGCCTTTTGAAGTTCACTGGTTCATTTTCAGAGAATATTGACTGGTTTACAAGTGCAAACCGTTTTATAAATCCCTGGGGATTGTCAATGGTGCTGCAGAGTCATGCTCTGTGAGATGCTCTCAGATCTGGATAAAGATTCACCATCACAACTTCAGGACAAGCTCACATTAGCTCTGTCTCCCTCCTCAACAGCCAGCAAAGAGCTTCCATTCTGTTGGAACCCACTGTCATCTGGTTAACTCTTCATCTTGCCAATACAGATATCATGACCACTAGAAAGTGCTGACTGACATTTTTCAACAATTCTAACCTGAATTTTAGCTTTGTATTCAATATGCAGTTCTTCAATTCGCTCATCCCTCTCTGTAATTTCTTTACGGAGTTCCTTGATATCCTCCTGTTGCTCTCGCCTTAAGTCCTGCTCACTTCGCTCACTTTTTTCTGGTAAAGTTAAAAATAAATTACAAGGTGTAAGGGATCACATAATGAATGTTTAGTTTAAATAATTGAAATCATGAAGAGATAGTTAAGACTGAAATTAATTGTTCTATTCATTCCAGAACCCCAACTGGGGAAGGCAAGTTTGGGGGAGGGGGGGGGGATAGATCTTTTGTGCCCTAACACCTAAGCAAATCATAAAAGGTTATTATTTAGCGGTTTGCTGAAACTGGATGTGTTGGGGAAAAAAGATACAGATACAATAGCTCAGCTGTAAACTACATATAACATCACAACTACCTCCCTTTAAGAACAAATGCAGAGAAAAGTAAAAATACAGCTCAGCTAATTTCTGGTGGAATTTAAACCCAAGTACTGATACGAATATGATGTGTGATTAAATTAAACCTGTCCCGCTGGCTTTATTACAAATGTTTAAAAGGAATATTAGCAGATGTGGCAGAATTAAGCCAAGCCCCAGTTAAGAGCTTGGGTTGTCAGAATAAATCACTGCAGGTATTCAAACACACATTCCACTGCTTGGGGGAAAAAGCTGTTACTATTGGCAAAGAAGTACTCTGGTTGTTCACCGAACCATTTGCTCATCGCTGTCAGGAAGTTTTAGCAAGGAAAATGTTCTAACACAGTCCTGATCTGTTGCTATGCGACCTTCATTAATTCCCACCTACACAGATGTAATGACAGCTGGAGGCTATTGTTCAAAATTTGCTTGTCTAAACTTAACTTTAAGAATGAAATCTCACGCCTATAACATAGCCTGATTTAATTTATTAAAACTGTTCTTTAATATATGTAAAATATATATATATATATTTCTGGGCCATCTCCACACACATAAAAAAAAAAAAGGTTAACAGCAGTGTACAACTGCAGTCTTTGGGAACAATATTATGTGGTAAGACCACATCTCTTTGACTGCGTGACTCTCATATCCTGTTCAAAAACAATGAGAACAATTTTAAAATCATCCAATGAAGGGAAAGAACTAGTTAGTTAGTTAGTTAGTTAGTTAATGGGTTATCATCATTGCACTCTGGACATGTCCATATGTGCTCAGATCCTCCCCTCAGTATGAACCCCAACGGCCGATGGCTAATAGTACCAGTTCTATGTTGATAAACAAGTCTTCTGGTGTGTCTGGTGTGCGTCTCGTTTTTTGCTATGCCGATCTTAATTCCCAAGCCTGCCATTCTGGCTAGTGATGTGGATTCACTGCCCCCAAAGTCACCTATCCTTACCATTTCTCTGAGGGTATTAATAATATCAGCATGATCCATAGGCTGACAGTCAGTAGTGATAGCGGATCCAGCCAACCTATCAGCTCTATCGACGCCTGCATGTCCCGGAACAAAAATAAAGGTGACTCCACGCACAGTTGACTTCTGTAATGATTCAAGCCATTGTCTTCACATCGAACCTGCCTGAACCCTCCAGATCATACTCATTGAATCACTGAGTATACATACGCGTGTGTATTTGTGTGTTTCGAGCTAGGCGAACGCTTGCGTCACTGCCATCACCTTCATTATCATACAGCTGGTTGTCAGGAGAAGGCACCATTGGCTTCTTTGACTGTTCTGCCCGCTGAGCGTGCTGTGAATGCCCATGCGCTTATTTTTTGGCATATAGTGGATCTGCCTGTATAGAGGAAAGAACTATAGTACTCGATGATCAAGAAATTGTTAACCATAACTGTTAACCTCTAAACCACACCTATTGTGCTTTAATAGTAAAATATGATGATGCTATAAAACTGAATCTGCCAACCTCACCCATCAGTCGGCTTTCCTTCGCAATCATTTTCAATTTTTTTTAGGTAACGAAGACTGGTCAAAGTAAGCTGCAAACAAAATTAATCCACACAGAAATCTTTTTCTTGTTAGCATTCACTGGCTGTAAACTCTGGCAGAAAGTTCTGGTTGTTCATCCACTCCTAGACTTTGGTCTTGATCCAGAACTTGAGTTCTGCATGCACATCTATTCTGACTTTAAAAGGGGGGTGGGGGAGAAGATCGCCAGCTGGCCTTTTCTTTGTTCTCCTAAATCAAGGCTATTCAACTGGCGGCCTCCCAAGGCCTAGCAAGTGGCCCGCGGATAAATTCTAGCTGTATTGTATTTTTGATCTTTCTATGCTGGGGCTGAGGCCTCTGGCCCTTGACGATCCCTGTTTTTGAACAATTTGGCCCCCGAGCCAACTTAGTTGAATAGCCCAGTCCTAAATGGTGCCCCAAAATCCACATGGGGACATAAGGAAATAATGTTGTAGATAAATTTATTGTATATAATTAGATACAGCTGTACATTCACAAACTAGCTGCTTACCTAAAGCATCCCTGAGTGCAGTTTCAAACTCTCGTTCCTTCACTGCCAACTGTGAGTTCATTTCCCTCACTAACATTTTCACTTTTGATGTGTGGTCATTTACTTGTTCTTCCAGTGCTATCGTGTGTTCTGTCTGCAGTTTCTGCACAGTCTCTTCTAGTTTCTTTTCAAGATCTACCAACCGTTCATCCTTGTCAGACTTCAGGGAGGCTAATTCTTTCTCCAAGTTTTCATTCTTTGATTTTAGTACTTCATTTTCTGTCTTATATTGCACTTTCAAATCACCACCATCTTTTTCTATCACAGACAGCTTTTCCAACAAACTATTTCTTTCTGAAATAAGTGAATCTATTTCTTCTTTCAAGTTTGATTCAGATTTATGAAATGCTTCTTCTTTTTGAGAAGACTCTTCTATCACAGACTGTTTCAGTTTCATTTCCTGATCAAATTCAACTTTCATCTTTTGAATAACTGTGTCATTTTCAGCAATAATTTTTTCTTTTGATTTCTTGAGGTCCTCAATTTCATTAGTCAATACTGAAATCGTTTCTTGCAGGCTAGTAATCTGTTCCTGTTGTTTCTCAAAGGAAAGAGTTTTCTCATCCTGTAGCTGCTTCTTTACTTGGGATATGTAAGCTTCAGCTTTTCTCTTGTACTCAGCAACCTTAGCAGTGCTCTGAGCTTCAATGCTTGCAGACAACTCAGCAAGTTCTGCTGCATGTGTCTGTTCAAGCTCATTCAGTTTGGTCTCATGGTCTTGTTTAATCTGCTCATTGAAAAGTTTAATCTCAGCAAGTTCTGCTGCATGTGTCTGTTCAAGCTCATTCAGTTTTGTCTCATAGTCTTGTTTATTCTGCTGAAGCTCATTCAATCTGGTCTCATAGTCTTGTTTATTTTGCTGATGCTCATTTAACCTGGTCTCACAGTCTTGTTTATTTTGCTGAAGCTCATTCAATCTGGTCTCATAGTCTTGTTTTGCCTGCTCATTTAGGAGTTTGATCTCAGTAATCTCTGTTGCGTAAGTCTGCTTAACTTCTTGTAACTTTGCCTCATATTCTTCCTTTATTTGCTCTTTCTGAGATATCTCCATCAGCCAATTTACTTTCCAACTCTTTCAAAATTAATGACTGATTTTCTAAATTACCTTCCAGTGAAGTTCTGGAATCCAGTAAGTTAGACTCCATTTCTTTCTTTTCTGTCAACAATTGTGAAAGTTGAGCCTGAAGGTCTTCTTTAACCGCTGTTATTTCCTCTAGTTCTAAACATAATGACTGAACCTTGCTATCTAGTTCTATTTGGTTATGGCTTGTTTCCTCCAAAAGTTTGTTTGCATTTTCTAAATCGTCTTGAAGCTGACCACATTTTTTGTTCTTTTCTTGCACTTCTGATTCATACTTCTCTGTCTCCTGAAGGTGAGCTTCTTCCAAATCTTTATATCTTCTGCTCAAGTCATGAAGTTCAGAAACTCTTTTGGTCTAGCAGTAAGACTGTTTCCTGAAGTTGCTTATCTAAATGGTGAAGTTCTGATTCTTTTTCTGTCAGTCTTGATTCAGTTTCTGTTAACTTGTCATTTATCTGACTACAGTTCATTTGTACTTCTTGCAGTATGACTTGAAAGTTTTTCTCACTTTCTGCCATGTCTGTTTTCAGTTTCACTAACTCAGTGTCCTTAGTCTCTGTTTTAGCTCTCATTTCTGCAACTTCAAGTTCAAGGTCAGCAATCTTCTGCTTTGAGACTTCAAAATCTACTTCAAGCTGATGCTTCTGCATATTTGCAATGGTCAACTCAGCATATATTTCATCTTTTGAAGCTTTTTCTGTCTGCAGATGTTTCTGAAGTTCATCAATACTATTCTTTGCTTGACCTTGAATGTCTTTGAGTTTGGCAATATATTTTTGCTTGAGGTCTCGCATCTTCTGCTCTGTTTCCTGTCTCAACGATTCCATCTCAGCTTGATGTGACTGTAACTGTGAAAGCAGTTTTTCCTCTGCATCTTTCACTTTCTGCTGCAAGCTGGACTGGAGTTCATTAGAAGAAACTTCAGCCTGGCTCTGAACCTCATGCAACTGCTGCTTCAGAACATTGATCTGCTCTTTGAGCGAGACATCTTGTCTTTCCAATTTTGCTCTTTCCTCTTGTAATCTCGATTCATAGTTTTCAATAGTCTCCTGCAATTTTTCATTTGTCTGTGTAAGTTCAGATTTCTAGTTCATGTGTTTTAGATTGCATGTCTGCCTGTCTTGAAGTCAGCTGCTCAATTTCAGAATTATAAGCAGACTTCAGAAGGCCCAACTCTTCATTATGATTATCTTTCAACTCTATCAATATCCTTTCATTACCATCTTTAAGGGACTGAAGTTCTTCCTGCAATATAGTGATCTGTTGTTTCTGAGTCTGTAATTCAGACTCCAGAATATGTATTTGAGCATTTTTCTCTGTTATGTACCTTTCTATATGTTCTCTTAAGCTTCCATCAGCAGCGTCTCCATTGCTAGATGTTGAATTAAACCTTAACATATCTTCAATGGATGCATGTTCCACTTCAAGAAGCTGCAATCTCTGGTATGCAACACTGAGAGCAGCATTGTTTTCTTGCATATACACTTGGTGGTTTGCTACAACTTCTTCTAATTGTTTTGATATATTATTTTTCTCTGCCAGAAGTTCTTCAGCTTTTCTGTCTGCTCAGCTAGCTGCTTCTGTAAAACTGCTAACTCTGTTGACATAGAACTGATTAGTGACTCCTGTCTGTTCTCTGTTTCATGTAACTGTTCTGTTAATGTGTGAATTTGATTAGCAAGATTTTCCTTCTCCTGGGTCTCTTCCCTGTACTTTTCTGCAATCTTTTTCACCTGTTCTAACATAATGTTTTTTTCTGACTGAAGTTCTTCATTAACTTTAAGCAGCTCGTGTATATGTTCTTGTTCTGTTGACATATTGTTTGTTATTGATTCTAACTTTGTATCTTTTTCATGAAGCTGTTCTGTTAAAGATTCTACTTGAGAAGCAAGGCTTTTGCTGTGCTCAGATTCTGATGCTATCTGCTTGTGAAGTGACTCTAAAGTTTCCATCAGATTCTGTAACTCAGCCTCTTTCCCTGCTAGCTGTTCCTTTAAATCTTCAATTTCTGCTCTGTACTTTTCAGAATCTATTTCAAACTCTGACTGGGCTGAAACAAAGTTATTTTTAATTGAAGTAAATTCTTGCGTTAAACTGTCTAGTTTGTGCTGTAAGTTTAAGACCTCCTCCTGGTTCTTTGACTGAAGAGCATCAAGATTATGGTGGTGCTCATCATCTAACCTCTGATATTTAACTTTCCACTCATTTTCGGTCTCCTCTATAGCGGCAATATATTTCTGTTCTTGATTTCTTAGTTGCTCTTCCTTCAGCCTTTCAAAATTTAGGGACAGATCTTCAATACCAAGTTCTTTTTGTGATAGTAACTCCTTCATTCGATCTTCATACTCTGTCTCCTTTCCTTGCAGTTTATTTTCATATTCTTCCTTAATTTTGGCTAATTTCTCTTTAAATTCAGCCTGTTTTTCTTCAATTTGTAGCTTTAGAGTATGTTCAAGAGCTTTCATTTCTTCTCTCAAAAGATCCATCTGGTCACTGTAATTCTTAATGAGATCGTCTTTTTCTAAAACAAAAATACTGTCTTTCTCTTGACACTCTTGCTCCTTTTGATCTAATTTCTTTGTGAGGGAATCTATTAAATCTCTGAGATCTTTAACTTCAGCATCAGTCTCATTCTTCAACCTATCAAATTTTTTCAAGCTTTCAGCCAGTACAGATCTGTTGCTGTCCTCTTCTTGGCTCTTGAACTGAATGTCTGCCAGCAGCTGTTCAACCCTTGCTTCTAGCGATTTCACAAGACTGTCCCTGTCATCAATGACAGACTTCAGAGCCACAATTTCCTCATTTTTACTCAACAAAGCCTGGTTTAACAACTCTACTTGCTCCTGTAGGGAATCAGTCTTTGAGGTTAAAATACTAATTCTGTCCTCCTGTGTTTGTTGTTCAGCTGTTGACTGCTGCTGTGCATCATATTGAAGATTCAAAGTTTGACGCAACTCTTCTGTGGATGCCTTCAAAGCAGCTATTACTTCTGCTTGGCTGGAAACTTCCTTTTCAAGGTCAACCTTCTCTATTTCTATAGCTGCTTTTTGTTCTTCTAGTTCCCTGACAAGCTCCTGCAGCTGATGTACCTGTGATTCTAACTCAAGTGCTTTGTTCTCTATTGTTTCTCTCTCAAGCTGTACTTCTTCTAAGTGTTTTTGTAATTCTTCTACTCTGATTTTACAAACATCTGTTTCTTTGACTGTACAATCCCGCTCTTCACATAAAAGCTTTATTTGCTCTTCCAGAAGGCATACATTCTCAGAATGAATCCTGTTCATCTCTTGCTCACAGTGAATCAATTTCTGCTGAAACTCCTCCTCTGCTTTACTCTTCTCTGTTTGCAGAACCCTCAGCTCATCCTGAGAGGCAGTAAGCTCTTCCCGTAAAGAGCTGAGCTCCTGAAATAAAATCTGAGACTGATTCTGAAATTCTAAATTGGAGTCATGTAAAATCTTTATCTGGACGTCTGCACTCTCCTCCTTTGCTGTTAATATCTGGTTCCTCTGAATCAGCTCCTCCCGTTCTGAAAAAAGCTCCTCTAGCTTAGTTTTTGATTCTCCTTGACACATCTCTACCTGCAGGACAAGAGGGGCAATGGAAGTTAATGTTCCGTATCAGTTTAGGAATACACACGTCAAAACTATTCATCTATAACATGCATAGAGATGACAAAAGTAAACAGTCACCATCTGTGAAGTTCTAATGACTATAAACTATATCTGAACTTTGCTTCTTTTTGGGGGGCGGAAAGGAGGGTGGGGGTGGGGGTGAAAAGAAACAGAGACAAGACAACTGAAAACTGAGATTAGATTCTCGAGAAGAATATGACATTTCAAAAGAGACAGAACGAACAAACTTTATTTTCAAAGGGTTACAAATTGGGCACGCAGGCCCGTCTGTCATTCGGCCCTTCTAAGCACTCCTTTTTCAGGGTACCAATGCCTGCTATCAATAATGCATGTCATTGATATAAAAGAAAATATACATTATGGAATAATGCCTACACACCATGTGTACACAATCTTACACACTCACACATACGTATATATACTCTTACATTCTCATACATGCACACTCATATACAGACATACCTAACACATACATACACACATCTACATACATACACAAACTGAAAACACACACACATACATATATGGACATACATGCACACACACATTCCATACATACACACCTACACATGCATGCATGGATACACACACATACAATCATATGTACATACATCCACAACCAAACATTTACACTCACATACATACATACATACATGCATGCATGCATGCATGCATGATACATAACATAACACACACACACACACAAACACACACACGTACACATACACCCATGAACGCACGCACGTGTGCATGCGCGCACACACACACACACACATACAGACACAGACACACCCACACACACACACACAGACAGACACACACATACACGCACGCATGCACACACACAAACACACACACACACAGAGAGACACACACACGCGCACGCACGCATGCATGCACACACACACACATGCATACATAAATACATCTATATATACACCTACATCTTTACACACATACATGCATACTTGCATACATACCTAAATACACACACATACACCCACATACTTACACACCTGGATATGCATACATACATCCACCAACATGTATATATACACAGATAGACAGATACACACACTCACACACACACTCACACACACTCACACTCACACTCACTCACTCACTCACTCACTCACGCACGCACGCACGCACGCATGCACGCACACACACACACACACACACACACACACACACACACACCCACACACATTACATACATACACACACAATACATACATACACACACATGCAAGCATACACACATATACAGTCACCCATACAGATACCCACATCCATCCATCCACCCACCCACACACATACACATAAATACACAGAGAGAGAGAGAGAGAGAGAGAGAGAGAGAGAGAGAGAGAGAGAGAGAGAGAGAGAGAGAGAGAGAGAGAGAGAGAGAGAGAGAGAGAGATAGAGGGGCATAGAGAGATATTAGAAATAATTAAATCAGAAGAAAAATATGAGTAATGGTACTGTTAGATTTTCACTAGGAACAAAAAATCTGGTTAAAAAAAATGTTGAGTCATCAAATTACTTACAACAGGCAGAACACCTCACCCTTTTTAAACTAAACCTGTGGTGCATCAGGCACATGATGCTAGACTAAAATTTCTTACAGGCCAACTGGCAGTCAGTGGGTCTTCTTTTTCTTCCTTCTATCCCCCAAAGGAGTATAGGTCCCAAAGCAACTCACACCAAGTTGTTCTACGCTTCACTATTGCATGCAGCTCTCCCATGTCTTCCCCATCTTTTTAACCTCCCTCTCTAGCTCCCTTCTCCATGTGTTTGTTGGTCTTCCTTTATTGCTATGCCCCTGTGGGTTTCAGTGCAAAGACATTTTAGTTATATTGTTTGTTCTCAAGTTTTCTCAGCTTGTGTCATTTCCAAAGTCAGCATCTTTTCTTCACCTCTTGGTCCACTGAAACTTGTTTAGTTCTCTCCTGAAGCTCTACATTAGAGATTGTATCCTACTATTTAATTTCCTCTATTCTGTGCAGGCCCTAGTTAATCAATGTTTGTAATGTATTAGTTGTTCTCCATGTTTAGGCTCCAAACAAAAGTGTTGATTTGACATAAGAATTAAAATTTTCAGTTTAGTATTAGTTTGAATTTCTTTTGACCTCACAAATTTTTTAGTGCAATGAAAGCTCTTTTTGCCATTTGTATTTTAATATCTCTATCAGTTCTCCCACCTTTATCTACATTACCAAATAGGTGTACGACTCCACCTCTTGGATAACATAAAGAGAAACCACATTACTGTTTGCCTGATTTATTCTCATTATCTGATTGGGTGATTCGGTCAATATCATGCAGACCGCCTTTACTTTTCAGGACATTACCTCAATTTAAGCTGGGGTTGACCTGGAAGCCAAGGTATTTATGATAATAAATCAGGGATGATGCAGATTCAAACCCAAGACATTCATGTCAGCAAGTAAGCATCTAACCGCTGCAGCTCTCAATGTATAGACCGAAACTGACATCAAAAGAGAGGCTGATCATGTAAATTACAAACAGAGAGAACAAAAACCCTGGGACCCCCATATACAAAGCTCACAACAGGCCCTACCCTGCTGTTTTACATTTCACCTTGTCATAATGAGCAGCTGGCCAAATGGTTAGAATGCTGAGATATGTTTGATCCTCCGTAAGGGATGGAGATTTTTTCTGTCAGGGAAAAAACAACCCCCCCCCCCCCCCACACGCACACAGAGAGAGAGAGAGAGGGGGGGGGGGGGGGACATTAAGTTCGTATTAAATAGAATGTCTTTTTGGAAGCCATTTTAAACCACTACAGTGGTGCCACCCATTACTGAAACAGGTTGGTGATGTTATACTGAAACAGGTTGGTGATGTTATACAGAGCAGAAGAGTCTCTGAGGAATCCTGCTAAATCTATAAATGGCACATTGAAACAGTATTTATATAGATTTAACTATTTCAGTCCCAGAGGGTTTAGCATCACAGGCCCAAGCGGTAGTCAAAAGAGACGTAAAATCGGCGCATCATGCGTTCATTGGGCTTCTAGTTAGTAACCTATGAACGTATAATGTGTTCCTTGGGACTTAGAAAAGTTAAAAAAAAAAAAAAAAAACCAGTAGGCATAACTTTCTGACTGTCCGTTGTAAGAGGCACTTTTAACACCAGTGGTGCATCAAGTTTATGTTTGACTCAGATTTTTTATAAGCCAGTCTGCACTCACTGGATCACTGGTCAACATCACAGTGGTCACTTTTACTTTCCAGGACATTCTCTGGTCACCCATTAAAGCCAAGGTCAATTTTGGGGAGAAAAAAATAAGACAGCGGATTTGAACCCACAATCTGTGGGCCATTGGGCGAGAGTCTTGTTGCTATGCTACCATGACACCCAATTTGTATTACTGTTTAAAATAAAGTCAAACAGATCAAACACAATGTACCTGTTCTCTTAATCTAGATGTTTCTTCCTGGGTCTGTTTAAGTTTCAAGTTTACTTCCTCTAGTTCTTTCTGCCTATCTCCAAGGAGTGCTTGAATTTCTTCTAAATGTCTTCTAAGAACTTCATTCTCTTCTCCTTTACCATTAATTGCTGCATACAACTCCTGCAAATGGCAGGTAAATACCATTAAAGATATCCAGGAGTACAATGGTTTCTGAATAACAACCCCCCCCCCCTTTTCCAAAATAAAAAAGCCCACATACACACATAAAAACGTAGTGGCAGACAAGCCTCACACAGATGCCTGTCATCAATTTAAATTATACTGTAATATTATATTTCCTATTTTATCTGATTCCTTCCATCTTATCTTAATTACTCCCAGGATATCCATTTTCATTTCTTTTATTACATTTGCAAATATTCCCAGTTCTGTCCATTTTCTCACATTTCATGTCCCTAGTGGTGTGAGTTACCTAGATCAATAAAACTTATTATTATCATTATTGTTTAGAAATCTAGGTACAATTAAGGCAAATTCCAACTTTTGTAAACAAGACGCTTCCTGTGTGGGTTCTGGGCATCCGTCTTGGGTTGGTGGGGGTGGGGGGGGACGGACCTACCCCCTACTCCCAACAAGCATGTCTTCTTCTTCTTCTTCTTGTTCACCGGCTGTGAATTCCGGCGGTAAGTCGCGGTTGTTCGTCCAAATAGACTTTTGGCTTTTACCTTGACCTGAGTTTTGCGTGTACATCCGTTTTACTGGCTTATTTGTTCGCAGTTCTCGTTCCCCGCCTCTCAGGCAGATGTACTCCGACTTCGGAGGAAGACGTCAAGCCTATTTCTAGGTTGACTGTGGCCATTGTTTTGTGTGGGTCGAGATGTTGCCTCATTTGTGTGGTGTCCTCTTTGACTTTTAACAGGTGTGGCCCCCGGAATGTCGTCTTTAAGGCAGCTCTATGTAGAGTTTTCAGCCCTCAAGGGAAGGCAGAGGCAGATCATGGGCATTCCCTGCCATCCAAGGAGGCTTCCATAAATGCAGAGCTGACACATGATGCTCTGGTTCTGGGCTCACCCAAGGAATCGTCACGTCCTGCCCATGACTGCTTAACCTCACAACTGTGTATTGAGCTTCCCGCACTACAAGGCTGCGCTCTCCGGAGATCAGCGGGGAGCAGCCCGCAGGTCTAGGACGTTTGTGGCCACACAAATAGGTACATTCTTTTTCATCTTACGTTAGACACCTTTAACGTTGTTTCAGCTGTGCCCTTAGCACGACAGAATGGAGAAGCAAAATGCGTCAGGCGTGGTTTCACCTGTTTGGTATCAACACTCGGGCGAGTTGGACCAGTGGATACGGACATTCTGACTTTTTCCTAATCGGTACGAATTATGATCGTCGGATTTTGAGCTTGCATGTGTGCCGTGGGATATAACTTTGTCGGACATTATTTCCAAGCCAGCATATGAAAAGTTGCTGCCTTGGTGTACCTCAGCGCGGTGACGACGACACTGAGGATTGAGGATATACGTAGGTAGGATCTTGCTGCGAGAAGTCGCCCACAAGAGATGTTACTCGTCTTGGCTGCGGGTAAATCTCTCGGTCAGGGTTGAGTCTCAGCAGCACAGTTTTCCATTCGCTACCGAATTTTAACCAAGAGTTGTCATTTGATGGTACATTTAGCAAGCAATTTTTGAGTTTTGTTAGATTTTTCACCCATGCGTTTGGGGGCGGGCTGGTGAGAGCCAGAAACGACACTACACCTCTAGGGGCCGCCAGCTCCGAGATCCCCTGCCAACTCTGTTAATGCTCATTTGAGACATTATCCGTGGCGCATGACGGGGACGTGCAGCAGGAATCTTGCATGAGGTTCCGTAAAACCAGAACAGTGAAGGACTGGCGCCCGAGTGGGGCACGGAGTATCTCCTTATACACCTCACATCAGACTTAACTTTGCCTCATGCCTGTGACCGAAATCACCGCGCAACAAGCATGTCTTAAAAGTTGACTAATTATTGATTTTCCGTTGAAGTCCAGCGGTAAGTTCTGGTTGTTTATCCACCTCTTGACTTTAGACTTTTGCCAGAACCTAAGTGTTGAGTGCACATCCATTTTGCAGACTGCTGGTTCCTTGCCTCTCAGGCAGATGCACTCTGACTTCGAAGGAAACCCCCATTTAGTTGACTCTTGAAAGATGCTTGTCAGGGAGGCAGTGCATCTATTCTTGTTTCCCCATAATGGGGCCCAGGAACCCACATGGGGAACACACTGAACTGTATTATATTATCTCAATCTCATTTTTTTTTTCAAACAACCATACTACTGTAATAAAAACGTATAATTGTCAAAAAACATATCTTCTTCTTCTTCAGCATTCCGAGCCCTTGAGGTTCATTGCTGCAGATATCACCCACCTCCATTTATCTCTCTGGCTGGCCTTCTCTTTCCAGTTAGTGACACCAAGTGTTTGCAGGTCTGTCTGGACATTATCTCTCCATGTTCTTCTTGGTCTGCCCCGTGGTCGACGACCATTTCATAAAACATATTGATAAAGATAAATTACTGATGTGATTTCTGGAACTGTTCCATCATCATCAATCAGCTTGTCCTTTACAGAACTCTGTTCTCTTCACGGCACATCTGAAAGTCTCTTTTCCTCTAGTAAATTCTCCAGCCTTATGTGCTTTCACAGCCAATGCATTTTCAATGTCCAGTATCCACTTCTATCAGCATTTGTCCATAAATGGTCTTCAGCCTAATATTATTCAAGAATTAATTACTGCTATTCCCTTATCCAAGCTTCCAGAATCCTATTTTGGAGTGAAAAAGAAGAGATAAACTGTCCCCTAACAAGCATGTCATAAATGGTGACTAGTTAAATATTAGCTGAAAAGGGATATGTTGGGCCAACAAAAAAGTGCAGATGTCGCACAGGTAAACCACAACACAACGTGACCCACAATATGAAGGGTTAACCCAGAAGAAGAAGAATTACTGCCAGAAATGTCTACCCTTCCCAAAGACAAACCTGCAAACTCTGTCCCTGCTTTTCCTGTAAATCCTTCATCTCTTCAGCATGCCTCTGTTTTAGAAAATCCATTTCCTGTGCAGCTTGTTCACTCAAGGAACTTTTCTCCCCAGCCAATCTTGCCTCATAGTCAGACTTCAGCTCCTCTGTTAATCTATCATGTTCCAGTTCTTTCCCCTTCAATGTCTCTCTCAGCTCTGCCACGAGGTTCTCCAAATCTTGCAACTCTGTCAGTCTGTTATTAAGCTCTGTCTTCTCCTAAAGATAATAAAACGAGAAGAATAAAATTTCTGAGACAAAGCATTAATTCACTAACAATTAAGATGACCAAACACACTCAGCATGCATAATTCTGGGGTAGGGTGGGGTGGGGTTTATGAACCTGAGGACTATTGGCCGCATAACTAGTGCAGCGGCCATTGACTGTGCAGGTTACAATTGTATTTTTCTCCCCTACAAACCCCATAACCTTACAGAGCATTCAAATCTGGGTCTCCTGCATGACAGTCCAGCATACTTAACCATTTGGCCAGCTGTTCCTTGTTCAGCAAACAACTATGGAATTCAAAGAGTAGAGAATTTAGGAATTTAAAAACTAATGAGAAATAAGGTGGTCTTGACTGATAAGTTCCAGGTAGACTGTCAAAATTATAGATGTTGTTAACCTTTTTGCCCTAAAACTCCATCATGACCCCTGGGGAAAAAACAAACACTAATTTTACACAGGTCACTAACAAATTCATAAAAATTTTATTTATCAACATTTAAAAAATTATAATTTTTGAAGTATATAAAGATAGATGAAAGAAGTAATCAATAAATGCGTACAGGTTTAGCACATAGGAAAAACCCTGTAAATGCTGTTGTTAGTTAATTTATTAATATCCTGATCTTCTGAAAGTTTGCGCAGACATGAATTCAGCCAACTGCATTAACTATATATCTCGTAAACAGGTCAAGATAGGCAAGTCGGAAAAGTGACATTTACGGGGAATTGGACCCAACCAGAAGAGTCGGTTTTTCTTTTGGCTGTAAAGATGGGACCTAAACAAATGTACTGGTAAATAAAATGCTGAAGAAATCACTAACTTTTTCCAAGGGTTTGTGATGAAACCTAATTACAAACTTTAAAAACAGGATCTCATAACCAATCTTTGAACCCATTAAAGATGCAGACAGAGGGGAATGGAGAGAGAGAAGCTACAAGGAGAATCACCACTAATCGCTGGCATCATGGCGGTTAACAGACTGCGATAGCTGGTGCATGTAGTGAGAACAGAAGTTAACAGAGAGAAAAACTGCACACACAAAAGAGTTGAAGGAAGTAGACCATGAGGCAGAGTAATAAGATGACAGAGAAATAATATCCAGGTAACCTACACACATTTGGAGTCCTTAACTGGAAAGAAAAAGCCAATCACACATGATGAATGGAGGTGTGTGATATTAACAGTGATAAACCTCAAGGGCTCAAAATGAGGAAGAAGAAGATGTTACAAGACTAGAAAAAGGCAGCAACATTAAACTGTTATTCTGGCATAAATGATGCATGATGGTTCTAACTGGACACAAATTGAAACTGGAAGGTTTTTAAAAACAAAACATTATATTCTACTACTGAGAAGAAGCAAATAAATAAGAACAAAATTTGTCAAGCAAATAATGTTGTTAATATGTCAACATAAAACTATAAAGAATTAACACCAACCTAACTCCAGAACCTGCTACTATTAGGTTACATATGACCAAATAATAACTTACATTCTAGACACAATGAGGATAAACGGTTAATTAGCTTGTGGAAATGGTAAGGATAACTTACAGACGTGAGGTTCTGTATCTGTTGGATCAAACCATCCTTGTGTTCATTTAGACTGCTCACATCTGCCAGTGTCTGCTGTTGCCTCTCTTCCTGCGTATGTCTGACCTCTTCCTCCTTTTCTTTCAACAACTGACTTATTTCTTCTTGTAACAATAACAGTGCCGTTTCGTTTTCTTTGTCCTGTGCACAAGATAAAAATAAACAAAATTAATATAATTCTTTGTCCTCTGCATAAAATTAAAAAATTAAGTTCAAAACAATGTTGTCTCTTAGTGAATCTATATAATGTCAAAACAAACAAAACATTGCACAATTTACTGCCTGGAATATTTTGCTGTACCTAATCAGGTACAGTGGAACCTCGCTTAACGAGCATAATTCGTTCCAGAATCATACTCGTTAAGCGAAACACTCGTTATGCGAAGCAATTTTCCTCATATAAATTAATGTAAAATATGATAATGCGTTCCATGTCGAGAAAATATTCACAAAATGCTATGTATAAGTTATACTATAACATTTATTTAAAGAAAATTATATACATATTTAAGGAGAGGGAATCATCTACATCTTTTCTTCAAACGCGGAGCGAACCCACATGGAATGCGAATTCAAATTGCAGAAAAAAAAAAGTCGAAATAATTATGATATATAGCTAATTAATTTTTACAAGAAAGATGTCCAGAGACATTTGTTTTTGTCGGCGCTTCCAAATTTGGCGAAAATGCGACACAGCATTATCATTAAATTTGCAGCGCGCATAACCACTTCCTTATTAGGGTGATGCTTCTCAATGTGAGAAGCAACAGTTTCCCATGCTTTCATCATTTTCCTTATTTCGCCAGAAGATTGTTGCTTTTCTGTTACCTACTCCTCCTCCTCTGACAAACTTTCCTCCAAAACGTCTTTTGTGAAACACAATGCAACTCCAATAAGCTCTTCGATGGCCAGCTCTTGGCTGTGCTCTTCGATATCACTGTTATCAACCTACAATCCCATGATAGTGGCCAAAGACACAATCTCATTGACTACAGGTTCCACAGGTACTGTCTGGAACTCCTCAAAGTCACAAATCGACAACACTCTCCGGCCAAAGCTTCCTCCAAAAAGAAGTTAGGGTTCTCTTGGTAACCTCTTCCCCCGCCTTGTCGGTCATCTTGAGGCAGGCAACGATGTGGAAGTGATTTTTCAAAAACTCTTTGAGAGTGAGGTTGGTCCCTTCAGTCACCTGAAAAACAAGGCTCGAAGAGTGCTTTAGTGTAGAGCTTCTTAAAGTTGGAAATAACTTGCTGGTCCATTGGCTGGAGTAACGGAGTGGTGTTGGGAGGCAGAAACTGGATCTTGATTAACTTAAATTCATCAGGGAGGTCATCTTGTAGGCCTGGAGGATTCATGTACATATATCACAATATAACAAAAGTTTGAGAAAATGTGTGGTCACATGCGACAATGCGACTGGAATGAGTGCTAAACACAGACTGATGTAACATGTGCAAAATCCGGGACTTCCCCTCTCCTCACCACTCGTTATGCGAAACGTCGCTCGTTAGGCGAGTCATTCTTTTACAATTTGTTTTGCTCGTTATGCGAATTACTCGTTACGAAGGTGCTTGTTAAGCGAGGTTCTACTGTATATTAATGCAGAGTTATATCAACAAATAAAGAAGCACACACAAATGTTTTCTTCCACTGAAATTCACAAACCACGTCTTCTTTGGTCACACTGTACATCTCATCACCTGAAGTTTAAGTTAGCCATGTGATTATCATAGAAATATATATATATATTTACCAGATGCAATTTTCTTGGCACACGGCGGAACTGTTTGCTTCTACTGTCATGGCTTCTGTCAGTTTCAGTAATATGTCAGTCAATGTGTCGTAAATAAAACATAATGCCCAGTACTCATCAATTACACGCCCAGAGTCAAGTCAATGACATCCTATTAAAGAACTGTGTTCTTTCCGCTTGGTTTGTCTTGATCTGGTAGTCTGGTAGTCTTAGTTTCAGCTTCATAGCAACGGGTCTCCCCATCTTTGCTCCGCTCCTGTGCCAACGAAAAACACCCAGAATGTTTATCACAGTCCCTTGTGGAAAGATTGACAGACTGCTGTCTCAGCATATCTAGCATACACTCGCACTAAAGCATACGGTAGCCATCCGAAGTGCTAACACAAACAGTCCAACATTAGAAATGCAGTTCATCAATGATGATAGCAGAACTTGTCGCGAACAGTTCAGCAGTTGTCCACACGATCAATTTTAACCAGATACGGGCACCGCCAACATTGCACGCCATTTTCTGAATCTACAATTCACACCACCACGTTGGTCACAGTCGAAAATACATTCCAAATGCAATCCGCAGCTCACAGGGTCACGCCATGCATTCAACTCAGAAGCTGGGCGACGAAACTATATCCAGTCTACAAATGGAGCAAAAATGCTTCGGCCACCGTCTGGCAGAAGCAAAAAATTTGCCTCTGCTTCGAACAGCGCCGCTGTCTAGCGTCCATTTTAACCGGAAGTCCTGATACACAAGGGATCTCCACTCAGTTGTGTCTGCAGCCATTTAGTGATATATTCTGCTACTAGGTAACTTAGCTGTCTCGTTGTGTGAATAATATAAGTTGACTGAAATTTGTATATAAACTCATTTATGCAGTTGGATTCGGTGTATGGAGACAGTGATTCCTTAATGGGTGAAGTTAAAATGGGAGTTACTTAGTATCTAACCACTGGAACAGTGGCAAGGAATGTATGACCAACAGCAGTTTTTAGTTGGCACTGCAGTCGTTGCATAACAGTGGCCTCTAAAAATGATAAACAGATCAATATCTGTGGTTTAGGCAATGTGATTCTGTTCAGGACTGGGTTGGTGGGGCACAAGCGGGCTTGATAAATCCTGTCAAGAACCCATTTAGATTTAGAGTTGTCTTAAAGATTTCAATTTCTGCTGCCTGTGTATCTTCAGTTTAAGTCCTTGTACCACGGTTACTTCTTACTAGTTTACGCTTATTTTTGAATGGGTACAATGCTGGGACAGTTTAATACCGGCCAGATCATATTTCTTTTCAGTACACTTATCTTCATATATTGTCATCCTTACTACAGCTAATTAGGACATCTAGGATGGTAAAGTATTTTTCTGTTCAAATCGTAACAATTAAGAGATTATAAGTGTCGATTTTAATTTTTAAAAAAAAGTAAAGTAAAGATCCCTTTCCACACCTTTAGGTGTATCAGGCATATGGGAAGAGCACCCATATTTTTACAGACCATCAGCATTTGGTGGTTAATGTGGTCAGCATTACGCCGGCTGTCTTTACTTTCCCAGGACAGCCCATCCTGGTACCCATTTTAGACTGGGTCAACCTGCGATGCCCCATACCATGATAAAAATCCACGCTGCCAGCAGTGGGTTTCGATCCCGGTATGCTGGATTACGTGTCGGACTCGCAACGCCTAAGCCACGGATGCCGCTTCGATTTTAATATCAGCCTCTAATCTCATTCATTATTCATGGATGTAGGTCGTAGAGGTGACCTTATGCATCAATGGTATACAAGTGTAGAAATACTACACCCTGTCCACTCTTTGAAGTTATCAGTCCAGGGCTGCCCTGCTATTTTCTTAAAAGTACCTCAGTTCATAAAACTACACTGAGAAAATAATAACATATAGCATTTCTGAAAACTGGTTTTTCACAGTGCCACGAGTGCATAACAGAGAAGTAAGTACTACTGTCTTAATTCAGATCATCCACCTATAGATTCCGGGGCCCTATTATGGGGGACAGAAAGTGACCAATCCCATGCCCCCAACAAGCATGTTGTAAAAGACATCTAATTAAGGGGGTTTCATCAAATTTGAGTGCATCTGTCTGAGAGGCGAGGAACCAATGGTCTGCACACACAAAAAGCCAGATCTGTAAAATGATGTGCACACAAAACTCAAGTTCTGGAACAAGAACAAGGTCAAGAAGTGGATGAATAATCAGAAGAAGAGATTACAGCCAGTGAACACTAAAAAGAAGAAGGTACAGATCAAAATTCACAGTTTTGCACTGTCAAACCATGAAAACTTATTTGGTGAATTCCCAGCTGCAACTGTTTCATGATTAGTTTCAAACCCATCTGTTTGTAGACAAATTGACAATCCATTCATCTGTGTATTACTAAGGCCCATAAGGAGAGCAAATATACTGTGAAACTTTCTAGGAATGTGAGTAAAATACAACAGTCGGTAGTAATGTTCATGCCTGAAGTGTAAAGTAAATTTGTCTCATGAAACCACAGTAACAACCATACTTACTTTTGACTGTAATATTTCACTGTGTGCCTCTTCATGTTCAGCCATTTTAATATTCCACATTTTGTCCCTTTCCTCTAAGGCCGCATGAATTTTCTCAGCCATATTTTTCTCTAACTCTTGCTGCAAGCAGAATAAAAACAACCCATCAACCCTTATTAAACCTTTTTTCATCCTCAAAGCTCTTACGCCTTGACCCTTATAAAATCATTATTCTTCCAAGCATTATAAAAACCCCTTCTTCCCTAAAATAAAGGGAAAGGTTTCAATGCATCTTTAGATTAGAACATCATCAAGTCAGTAACGAACAAACAAGTGACTGGAAAACTAAGAATGTGCGTTGAGTTACAAGTAAAGATTATAGCCAGTGTTTGCTAATACTGAAGCTTTAACTTATTTATTTATCCAGAAAATACATCATCTGCCTATATTTATCCAGAAAATACATCATCTGCCTATATTTATCAGAAATACGTAATCTGCCTATAGTAATCCAGAAAATACCTAATCATCTTATATTTATCTAGAAATACCTAATATACCTCTATTTTTTCAGAAATATCTAGCCTGCCTATATTTATTTGAAGAATAGCTAACCTGCATGACAGAGAATGCCTCAGCTTTGCCTCTCTTCAAATCACTGATCATCTTCTCTTTCTCATCCTCCATGTTCTGCTCTGCTTGTCTAATCCTTTCTTCTGCCTGTTCAAGTGCCATTTGTTTGTCATGTTTCAGTTGTTTCATTATACTCCTTGCTTTTTCAAGTTGCTCTTTATCTGATGAAAACATTGTTGAAACATATAATTTAAATTATGTAAAAGCTACAGCTTAAAGAGGAATGACAAGAAAACCACATATAAAAACTGCAATGAAGATGTCATAAAAGAACTTCTTCTTCATGTTGACCAGCTGTAAACTCTGTTGGTCCCACGTCTCTCAGACAGGCGCACTCTGACTTTGAAGAAAACCTCCCTAATTACAACATACTTGTTAGGGAGGCAGTGGGTCTATCAACCCCCCCCCCCCCCCCAACCCCTTAAATAGGGCTCCTCAACCCAAAAAAGCACAGAAGAATACAATCAACATTCTGTTGGCACACAGCAAAAAAGGGGAAAAACTGGAGTTTGTCATGACAACAGGAAAGTTAGGAAGGGGTAGGGAGGGAAGGAAAAGCCAAGGAAAACCAAGAAGACAGTTTGACATTTTGGCATAATGGTAAAGAAGAACAATGGTCACAAAACAGAAGGCTGCAGACATCTATTTTTACCAATGCCACACATCATGGACTATAAAAAGTTATTATTTAGACAATTATATTTCTCTGTCACACACAAGTGTACATTTGGTAAAATTCTTTTTACTAACTATATTTGTACAAGTACTGCATGCATCCGCTCTTTTCCCTCTTCCATTGCTACCTTTTTTCTCTCAGTGGAGTGAAGGTCTGCAACCAACTCAAGCATGTCCTTTTGTAAACTTGTTTATGACCAGTTTAATTTCAAACCTCCTTAACTGCCTCTTGTGACATACATGGTAAGTTAACAGTGTTACTCCTTGCTTCCTTTACAGGTCCCAGTAATACAGGGCATAACAAAAGAGATGAGATGCCTTAGAAAAGTTAACAGGGTAATGAAAAGAGAGAAAAAAAACAAATGAAGAAACCAGACGAAGACTAGGACTGCAACCGGTCACACATCTGATTAAAGAGCTACATATGAGATGGATGGCCATCTGACCAGAATGTCCTGGTTAAAAAGTACCCCAGAGAGCCACACTGAACAAATATAATGGACACAGAACAAGGAGAAGACCATGCAGTACATAGAATTCTTCTTCTTCTTCTTCTTGTTCACCGGCTGTGAATTCCGGCGGTAAGTCACGGTTGTTCGTCCAAAATGGACTTTTGGCTTTTACCATGACCTGAGTTTTGCGTGTACATCCGTTTTACTGGCTTATTTGTTTGCAGTACTCGTTCCCCGCCTCTCAGGCAGATGTACTCCGACTTCGGAGGAAGACGTCAAGCCTATTTCTAGGTTGACTGTGGCCATTGTTTTGTGTGGGTCGAGATGTTGCCTTATTTGTGTGGTGTCCTCTTTGACTTTTAACAAGTGTGGCCCCCGGCATGTCGTCCTTAAGGCAGCTCTATGTAGAGTTTTCAGCCCTCAAGGGAAGGCAGGGGCAGATCATGGGCATTCACCGCCATCCAAGGAGGCTTCCATAAACGCAGAGCCGACAAATGATGCTCTGGTTCTGGGCTCACCCAAGGAATCGTCATGTCCTGCCCATGACTGCTTAACCTCACAACCGTGTATTGAGCTTTCCGCGCTACAAGGCTGCGCTCTCCGGAGATCAGCGGGGAGCAGCCCGCAGGTCTAGGACGTTTGTGGCCACACAAGTAGGTACATTCTTTTTCATCTTACGTTAGACACCTTTAACGTTGTTTCAGCTGTGCCCTTAGCACGACAGAATGGGGAAGCAAAATACGTCAGGCGTGGCTTCACCTGTTTGGTCCCAACACTCGGGCAAGTTGGACCAGTGGATACGGACATTCAGACTTTTCCTAATCGGTACGGGTTATGATCGTCTGACTTTGAGCTTGCATGTGTGCCGTGGGGTGTAACTTTGTCGGACATTGTTTTCAAGCCAGCATATGAATAGTTGCTGCCATGGTTTACCTCAGCGCGGTGACGACGACACTGAGGATTGACAGAGGATGTACGTAGGTGGGATCTTGCTGCGAGAAGTCGCCCACAAGAGATGTTACTCGTCTTGACTGCGGGTAAATCTCTCGGTCAGGGTTGAGTCTCAGCAGCACAGTTTTCCATTCGCTCCCGAATTTTAACCAAGAGTTGTCATTTGATGGTACATTTAGCAAGCAGTCCTTGAGTTTTGTTACTTTTCACCTATGCGTTTGGGGGCGGGCTGGTGAGAGCCAGAAAGGACTCTACACCTCTGGGGGCCGCCAGCTCCGAGATCCCCTGCCAACTCTGTTAATGCTCATTTGAGACATTATCCGTGGCGCACGACGGGGACATGCAACAGGAGTCTTGCATGAGGTTACGTAAAACCAGAACAGTGAAGTACTGGCGCCCGAGTGGGGTACGGAATTTCTCCTTATACACATCACATTAGACTTAACTTCCCCTCATGCCTGCGACCGAAATCACCGCGCCACGTACATAGAATGACTGTTGGCTAATGCTAAAAGCAAATGTCATGACCCCGCCAAGGGAATTACCGAAAAAAATCCTTAAAAACAACTACTTTACACGGGTCACTAATAATTTGTTTAAGTTGATTTATATACATTTAAAAAAAAAAATTATGAATTATAAAAAGATATATAAAGTGAGTAATCAATAAACATGAACAGAGTGAAGCATTAAATAGAATACATTCTCCGGGGGGCCTAAAACTGTAAACTACAACATAATGTGCAAACACCACCCTTTCAAGGGCTAATGCAGAAAACAAATCCATATAACTATTCTCTTATTTAACATTCTTCTAAGTTTCTTTTGCGAAGATGAACTGAGGAGTATTGACTGAAACTGAGGAGAAGCTGAGAAGAAACAAAAATATAACAATGTAAACTGACTGAAATAGCAACTATGTAATACAACGTCAACTCATAGCAACTATGTAATACAACGTCAACTCATAGCAACTATGTAATACAACGTCAACTCATAGCAACTAAGTAATACAACGTCAACTCATAGCAACTAAGTAATACAACGTCAACTCATAGCAACTAAGTAATACAACGTCAACTCATAGCAACTAAGTAATACAACATCAACTCATAGCAACTAAGTAATACAACGTCAACTCATAGCAACTAAGTAATACAACGTCAACTCATACTGGTTCTGCTGAGATTCTCTGCTTCTGTAGCCAATCTCTCCACTTCAAGTTTTAAGCTGTTGTTTTCAGCCACAAGTCTCTGATGTTCTCCCTTCATCTGTTCTAACTCAGCATCCTTTCTGGCAAGTTCTTCATGAATCTGCATAATGTAAAACACATGAATCTGCATAATGTAAAACACAGAGATTACATATGAAAGGAAAAATAAAAGACAAAGGTTGGCAATCGTAAATCACAGATAGCAATGGTAGGTACAGTCATGCTTTTCTAGAAAGTCTACGCTGAGATAAGGCTGTATTTGTTACAAGTGCACTAAATAAATTAAATTATACAACTATGTGGCTTCATTGTGGTAAATCAAGAATAGACCCACCATCTTCCCAACAAGCATGTCGTAAGAGTCAACTAAGTGGGGGATTCCTTTGAGGTTGAAATGCATCTGCCTGAGAGGCAAGGAACTATTAGTCTGTATACAAATAAGTCAGATCTGTAAAATGCATGTGCACACAACCCTCAGGTTCTGGAACAAAACTAAAGTCCACACCACAGGTGGACGAAAAACCAGAAATGTCTGCCAGAGTTTACAGCCAGTGAAGGTAAAGAAGAAACAGAAGAAAACAACCACCCTGAATAATGAAATCTGAAACTTTTCAACAAATAAATGCATGTAAGAAAAAAGCTGTTAAGCTGAAGGTGCTTATATGTGACTGAGGCGCATGCGGGTAACAAAGACTCACTTGTCTGATACTGGGGCCCACATGGACAGCAAAGTCACCCCTGTAATACTGGGGCCCCTTAGAATAGCAAAACTGGCACCATCTATTATTGAGGCCCATTAGAGTAGCAAAACAGGGCCTACACTGTAAATTACTGGGATCCCTAAGTGTAGCAAGGCATCACCTGTATGTTACTGGGACCTATAAAGCTAGCTAGTAGTCACCCATATGTAATTCCAGTCCCTTTAAGGCTGAATTTTTTCGTTATTTGAAGCCCCACTCTGGCTCTTGCCAGGGGCCGCGATATAGCCTGGCCATAAATATGGCCTAATGGCTGAACGCGGTTTCTGGGACCTCTCCACAGGTGATCCTCATCCACATGGTGACCATTTGTGTCATCCGGTGTTTATCGCTTGTGTGATGTCCTAGTGGGGTAAAAATCTACTACTACTACTACTACCCATATGTTACTTGGGCTCATAAGGGTAACAAAATGTCACCTGCAGGTTGCTAAGGCCCATAAGTATAGCAAAGAGTTACCTATATATAACTGGACCTATAAGATTAACAAAGTGGCAGAATCACCAGTTCATTATTGGGGGCCATAAAAGTAGCAATTAAAAGTAACACTTCTTTCTAACATAGTGAATCACTGCTGGCTTACAAACAGAATGTCATAAAAAGAAGAGACACTGCCATTATAAAAACAAACATTCCATCAACACACACAAAAACAAGAAAAGCAAGAAAACCAACCTGCTGTTTGACACCAGCAACTGCAACTTCCCTGTCAGACTCCAGCTGTTCTATGACTTGTCTTGCCTCCTGAATCTGTGCCTGCAGTTTTGAGACTTCCTCTGGGGTCTGGGAATTGACTCTTTCACCTGACTGATAAATATTTCTGATTTAAACTTCCCTTTATGGATTTGTCTCATTTAAGTGTAAGCAAATAATAAAGAATTCACCTCATTAATAAATGTACCAGATTACAAAACAGAAAGAAAGAAAGAAAGAAAGAAAGAAAGAAAGAAAGAAAGAAAAAGAAAGAAAGAAAGAAAGAAAGAAAGAAAGAAAGAAAGAAAGAAAGAAAAGAAAGAAAGAAAGAAAAGAAAGAAAGAAAGAAAGAAGAAAGAAAGAAAGAAAGAAAAGAAAGAAAGAGAAAGAAAGAAAGAAAGAAAGAAAGAAAGAAAAGAAAAGAAAGAAAGAAAGAAAAGAAAGAAAAAAAGAAAGAAAGAAAGAAAGAAAGAAAAGAAAGAAAGAAAAGAGAAAAAGAAAGGAAAGAAAGAAAAAGAAAGAAAGAAAGAAAGAAAGAAAGAAAGAAAGAGAGAAAGAAAGAAAGAAAATAAGAAAAAGGAAGGAAAGAAAGATTTTAAAAAAGGAAGGAAAGAAAGTTCACAAAATTGGACAGACAGTTTATAACAGCATTTTAAGGTGAAAATTAGTGTAATACTGACAATGCTACCTTCAAATCTAATTTGCCAAGAAGCTCTTGTTTGTCAAGTGACAACTGAGAGACTTTCTCTTTGTAGCTTGTAATGGTTTCTTTACATTTCTGCAACAGTCCATCCTGACGCTTTATCTGAAGAAATGTAAAAAAAAAAAAAAAAAAGATAACTAAAGTGCACAAACCTGAAGACAATAAACATGTAATAGATGTGACAATGTCCACATGTTTTCATGAAGAATGTGTTAACCTACATATTCCAAAAACTAGCCTCTGTAGAAGGTCAATAATACTGACAAAAAATTGACTGGGCTTGATTACCGACACGGCAACTATAAGTTTTGATTTTTACATTGCCTCATGTGTCCTTCTATCTTTCTACTTCTTTCTATGAGTGCCAATCAATACACTGTCTGTTTGTATATTGTATATATAATGTTTCTACGCCCTCAAGGTTCCCCCATCCGTTTATTTATGACAAAAATGTATCTTTGTGAGCTGTGTATTGATACCTGAAGCATAGTGGTGTAGTGATTAGTCACAGCTTAATTTATAAAAACTACCTATTAATGAATGCTTGCTGAAAATACAATGCTAGATGAAACAGCACAAATTCAGATTCAAGTGCGGGTAGGTTTTTTGTGTGTGTGTGTGTCAGTGTGTTATCTATCTTGTGCCAGTACTTTCTTATCTATTATTGCACCATATGTTTAGCTCTCTGCATAAGCTCCATACTAGGGATTCTGTCATACAATTTTGGGCTCACTCATAAATCTAGCCTAAAACTGATTTCATGAAATATCTTGGACAGTAAAGTCAGTCTCCATGATACTGACAACATTAACCTACCTAGTGTATATAAACAATGTATTGCTTCACACTTACAATACAAAGATGATTTACAGTCTGTACCTTTGATTTCAACAATTCAATTTCTTCATTTGTTGAAATATTTGCCTTGCTATCACCACCAGCGGTCGGAGGGCTCGCCTCAGCCTTAGCTTGTTTGCTGAGTAGTTTTTCTTGTAGTTCCTCTGGAATTTCCTTTCCATCCTTCAGTAGTTTAATCTGAAAGTTACACAAGTAACACCAGTATCAAAAAAGTAATATTTACAATGAAATATAATAAAAATGATGAAGGCAAAAATACAAAACACATTACAACGATATAATGCACAGTGAAACATGCAGAAGTGATTGGTATATGCATGGGTGAGCCCTTAGAATGCAGAAAGACACACTGTACATTAAAAACTACCCTGGTACATTATTACTGAAACATAAACTATGTATGCTGTGTATTTCAGCTAAAAGAATTCACTGGTTGTACTTAGCTGTATACAGACTTTATTTTGTGATTCTGTGTATGCATCCGACAAGATACAGTGAAATATGCTACAAGAAAGCTGCAACCTACTGTTTGTGTCCTCATTATTTATATTCACAAAGGAAAAATGTTTTTAATATATAGTCAAATATATAGTCATTTGTAACATGAATAACAATTTTTATAAATGATGATGGTGCAAGCACGTTCAAGAAGAAAACAAGACAAAATAACTGCAGACCTGTGAACAAGCATCAGCTTACTATGCAAGGAAGCAACAAACAGACCTGCAGTAGCTCACTGTAGTATTCCAGGAAAAGAAAAGACGGTGAGTTGGCAACCGTAGGGAGTAATCTTCCCCACAACCTCATCCAGCACAGGGCTATCGAAAAACTAAATCTGTCGTAAAGAATCAATGTATGTGGCTTAGGCCTTTTGAAGGCACTTCTATAATTTCGACATACACTTTCTCTTTGACTTATAACCTATGTGACTTATGACCATCCCCACTTACAACTTAACAGACGGGTCCGTTATACGAGGACATAAGAGTGCATGGGCATTTACAGCTCGCTCTTCGGGCAGAACAGTTGAGGAGGCCAGCGATGCCTTCTCCATGACCACCAGCAGCATGACGACGGAGGTGATGGCGGTGACACAGGCTTTCATGTGGCTGGGATCACAGGACTATTCCAGTGTGTGTGTGTACTGAGTGATTCTTTGAGCATGATCCGGAGGGTCGAGGCTGGCTGGTTATGCAGACAGTGGTTTGAGTCATTGCTAAATTCTCCTGTGTGTGCAGTTACTTTCATATACATCCCAGGGTATGCAGGTGTTGTTGGTGATGAGAGAGCTGATAGACTGGCAGGTGCTGCATTAATTGAAGAGGCCGCCCCATAGATCACGAAGACATTGTCATTGCCCTCAGAGAGATAGGACGTTCTGAGGATTTTGGAAGCAACGTGTCCACATTACTGCTAAGAATACGCAAATTGGGAGTAAAGATCGGCACAGCCAAGCATGAGAAGCACACTGGACTCACACGAAGTCTTATTAACCAACATATGACTGGTACTATTAACCACACGACGCTGATGAATATGTTGAGAGGGGAATCTAAGCGCCTATGGATATGTCCGGAGTGCTGTGAAGATAATCTAACTCACAACTCATAACAAACACACATAAATGATAAATTAGTAAATTAAGATAACTACATTGGTAGGATCAAAAAGTTCCCAGAACTGACACCTAGAATGTATATAGATACCTTTTTACAATAAATATAAACACACACATTGAATTTTTGTGTTTTATGTACATCTTTTATGACATTTCAATGAAACTAGTGTTCGAAAAAGATAAATTTGACTTACAAACTGTTAGTGAGAATGAAATTCGGTCATAAGCCGGGTCACCCTGCATTAGGTTCGATTCAGCTGCAAGTGATTTGGCAGTAGACCACTCTCCATTTATTTAAACTATGGTATGATTGTTAGTCCTGGGTTTGGACCCTGACTTTTTTTTTATTGGTCTTGGCTCCCAGTTTGACCCAGCTTTGATTGGGTACCACGTGCTGTCCTGGGAAGTAGAGGTGGCCAGCATGATGCTGACCACATCACCCACCAAGTGCCGATTGGTATTTGAAATATAGGTCTAGCCCTGTGTGCCCAATAGCCTAAAGGTGTGGATTGTCCCTGTGTTCCCCAGGGCCTAAAGATGTGGATTGTCATCCATTTAGAAAGCAATGACAAGCTACTGAATGCAAAAATTATTTGGTGAGACCACAAAAGGCTAATAAATGTTGGGGTTCATTTGTCAACAACAAAAAATGCTATTAACTTTTAATATTTTTCAGACAAACCTGCATTTGTAACACTTTCATATATTCGTCTTTCTCATCCAGAAGTAGCCTGTAGTTGTCCTCGAGATCTCTTTTTGCCAGCTGGTCCAACTGAATCTGTTCTCTCAGCTCAGACATACGGCGGAAAGCTCTATCCTGACATTGAGCCATCGTCAGCTATGGAAATAATTACCAAATAAAATGGAAGTGTTAATCTGAAAAAATATAGTTCAACCACACAATATTGCTGCAAACATTAACAGATATGTGATAATAAATGGCTTCAATGCCAGACTGTTCCCGGAGTGTGACGTATCAGGTCTTTACATTAACTTGATCATGGTATTATGAGATGAGGTGATCAGATCCATTTCTCACTACCATCCACAATCTTCAGCATCCACTTTCACTTTTGCCATTAAGTGCCATAGGGAGGAACAGTTTGTGATCCAGTCCTTGAAAGGTAGTAAAGGCTACTGTTATTTCGTGCTGATGCAGAAGCTCTTTAATGTAATTAATCCATATCCTTCTTGGGCTACCTCTTGCTTTCACATCAGATCTTTTTATGTGTAGTGCCTGTGATGGTAGCTGCTCTATCTGCATTCTAACCAAATGACCAAAACCATTTGATCTTCTGTTTCTCAATGAATCTGGTGCAAGATGTTGTTCTCAGTCAGTCTGACAGTACCATTTCTCATTTTATCTTGAATGGTTAAGTTGGTGGCTTTCCTCGGAAACTGTGAAGATAACAATTCATAACTCATAAATCAAAGATGCATCACAGATGGAGGCATTTTACAAGAGTTGAGTTCAGTTGAGTCAAGAATTGACATCACAGCTCTGTCCTCATCTTCAGCAGCCAGCGCAGAGTTCCAATATTGATGGTACCGGTCACAATCTGGTTAAAAGTTCGTCTTACTTTTCCTCTGAGTGTAGTGAGCTGGCCAGACCCTCTGGTTAAACCCAGGTGCCTCATTCTCTCCAGGCCATAATAATCTTCTTTCTCTACTGATTCCGTTGCTTGTTTCCAAAGGGCCTTGACCACATCTGCCTTGTCATGTATCAATTAACCATCCAGTGGTGCAAATCTAGCCAATATGTCACCCTGTTCATTACCCAAAATGCCGGCATAGCCTGGAGAAAAGATCCAAAGTATGTTAGCCATTCTGCTGGAAGCATCCCTACCTTCACCTTTTTCAGAATGCTTTCAGAGTCTGTTACAATTATGACGTATGTATGCATCTTGTTCTCTAGCCACCAGAGAGCTGCAGTTACTGCCTCCACCTCCATTCTCATGCTAGATGTTGTTGTGTCATTTGCTAGGCTGTCTTGCACTAAAGATTTGGCTTTCACTACAAACCCCCAGGCACTTCTCTTTCCTCTCAACACTGAACCATCTGTTTAGATAATCAGATCACCTGGGTCTGTATTGACGTGAATCAACTGTTGGACTTTTAACCTCCTTAGCAACAGCTGGCCACTCTCTGCACACCCCGCCCAATGTTATCATAAGCCTACACTGGTCAGACTTTCCCGCTGGTACTCTGACAAACTCCTCTCCTCGCATAATGTTCTCCAGCATCTTATTGTGTCTTCTGCTTGACCCATACATGATTTTCCCCTTTTTAGCCTCTGACCCTTGCCTGCAGCTAAAGCTTCATACAGAGAGTGTTCCCTGTCTGCAGCTACTCTGAGGTATGACTTAGCCTGCAGCAACTTTAGCCTATCTGCAATAGTCGGCAATGCAAGGATGTATCGCATGCACACAATTGGGGTATCTCTTGTACAACCCAGGATCAGCCGCATAGTCATTCTGTATGCGCTCCAGTTTCTCTAGCTTGTAAACTTCAAAATACCCTAAGGCAATGAAATAATGGACATAGTTCAGCAATAACAGTCAGAGAAAGACTGCAAGGAAATTTTAACACACTTAAAATTAAACAGTCAAGTTTACCAATAAACTGGAGTCAAAGACAGGGAAAGAATACAAAACGAACGAAAGAAAACTCTCAGAATGAAATACAGCAGAACTCTAAAATATTCGTCTTTGTTAAAATTCCAGTTTTTTTTTAATTCATCCTTTTTGTGTGTTCAAATTTTAATTTGATATTTGCTCGAAAAGTCTATATTTATTCTACCACTGATGTGGATGTGGAATTATCATCGAAAAAAAAAGATGTTGCGTCCGTTGCAAATGCTGAAATTAAGTGGACCCTGCACCCTTTACACCCTGTAAGTGTTAGGCTGTAACGCTGATTCTTGTCGCTTATTTGGTATTGTAAAACAAACACACAAACAGTAGTCAACCTTCATCGACTGTCATGTGGAGAGGTGTGGTAGTTTGCAGGAAGAGAAGTCTGCCTCGTCTGATCGTGTCAATTGTGTACTAGTGAGAGCTAGTGCGAAAGAGACACATTACAGTGACAGTATTGACTTTAAAATTAATCCCAATTACCTTCAACTTCTCTCTCTCTTGCATCATGTCTTTATAGGCTGTTGCCAGCTGTAAAATATTTAAAAACTTGTGTCAGGAAATAGCAGTGTAAATAATACATATTTTTTTATTAACTACTCACTGAAATAGCTGAAGTCAATTACATGTTCATAACTTCCACAATTTAACTGCAAACACAGATTTAACTCTGTCAACCCTGAGAAGAATAAATCTAGTCACTTTCTGCATGGTAATAATTGCTGGAAAGTTTCTCAAATGTACATGATCTTGGAGTGTCTGAATGACTAACCAGCAGTAACAGTAAGATGAAATCAGTGGCTGTGAACTACCCTCGTTTTCTGTCAATGTGGAGACAGTAACTTGTCTTTACACAACAGCTGCCTTAGTACATTACCATGAAATGTCCTTTTCTTATGATGATCTGCACGTGTTTTCTTATCCATGCTTATTAATTTATGTTATTTATAAACAAATACTAACTTAGTAAAATGTAAATTAAACAATCAAAACAAGCTTAAATTAACCTAGAAATTTAAAAAAATGGTTAGCTTGCCAATTTTTAAGAATTAAAATTACTTTCAGGTCGGATTTTACGACAAGAAATGCACTATTATGTGCAAAATGAATAAACTGTCATGAAGTGTATATTTTAAAAAAATTGATTCCAAAATTCTAAAGAAAATAGTCAGTTTGAGAGTTTAACCTGTCCTTAAACATATACTGTAAACATCCAGTTGAGGGTAAACATTCTAACTATAAATGTTGCTAGGCATCAAGTGAACCTACTTCCATAAACTTAGACTTGTACTTGAAAGCTCTTCGCTCAAAACGTTTGACGAAAGCATAAAGATCCTCCTTGGACACGGCAGACAAATTGACAGAGGACTCATCAATTTCACTCTCGACATCTGATGGCACATAATAACTGTGAGAGAAACTGACATTTGGGAAGAACGAATTGTCACTTGTCATGGAACTTATGGAAGATGTGCGTGACCTTGGACCTTTTGGGGTTTCATCTCCTCGAATAGAACTCATATCAGAGGCTGTCTGCAAAATAAAGAATGACAATAGTTAATTTAAATGCCAGTCATTTTCACAAATACAAAAACTCTCTTACCATTTATAAGCCTGTAAACTGTCTCCTGTTAATTTTACTGTTGTCATGCATTATGGTTTAAATATTTAGATTGTATTTCTTTCTCTCTGTATTTCTTTCTCAGTGTTAACAAGCAATATCACAGCCTATTCTGTACAAACTGCAAATGCTGCTATGTCCCTGTTATGTGCAGGGGTCAAGCCTTACCAGATTTTCAACACAACACCAAATATGTAGTGTTGCTACTTCGGATGTTTTACATCCAGATTTAGATGTTTTTCCTTGAATTTAGATGGCGTTTTTGACATTTAGATGGTAGATGTTTTTCTAGAAGTTTTTCATTTGGAGTGAATTTATCAAATCTAACCTAAGAAACAGGATAAACTTGACCTCTTAAATGCTATCTTGACAATAAAATTGTGCCTGATAAGAGTAGGAAAAGGCTGTTCCACTTATCAGCTCCCTGATTATGTATTAAAAGAAATTAGAACAGGTAAAGCATACAAGAGTCATTTTGGATCTGAAGCTTCAACTTCATCATCCAAGCTAAGTTTATCCTGTGGATCTTGTAAGGCAGACTTCAGTACAGATGAGGACATGATTCTATAGGGTAAGTCATATCAATTGCTATGTAATTTGTGACTCTTTCCATTAGGATGTTTTTTCTAGATGTTTTCCACGCAAATTTAGATCTTTTAAGATATTTTTTTTTGACACCGTTTTGGGTGTTTTTTGTCAAGGAAAAGTGGCAACACTGCAAATATGTGTATCATGTGTTACACAAAGCCTACCAATAGGGCATGAATTTATGCATGACAAGGACTAAACAGAAAGCAAAACACCATGCAGCCCCCAACACTGCTCTAAACAAAAATGTGTTAAATACAAGCAGTAATGACAGTTAATTACCTATGGTCAGATTTAGACTTAATGACGCCCTAAGCTATATAAAGCCCTAAGACCAATACCATTTAAAATTAAAACAACAAATGTTAAATGCTGAATCCAGAATGGTCATCACAGCACTCAGGACACCCCCATAAGCGCTCTGTCCCCATCTTCAGCAGCAAGTGAAGAGTTAGAATTGCATATCCATCTCACTTTTTCCCTGAGTGCTGAGCGTGGTCCTGATCCCCTAGTAACTTCTCGCAGCGCCATTCTCCTCAGACTGTAATGATCTATCTGTGCTTCGGCACTGTTCACTCGCTCATAAAGGGCCCCCTCAACATCCAGCTTGTCATACATCAGTTCACCACCAAGTGGTGCAGAACCAACCAGTCTATCTGCCTGCTCATTTCCCAACAAACCCGGCATGACCTGGAGAAAATATCTAAAGGATGCTAACTACCCGGGACCTCTGAAGTGATGCTTGCCGCTCTGCACGGAGCATGCATGTCTCCACCTTTCTCAACATGCTCTGTGTCAGTTACAATGACTAATGAAACTCAGAAAACTTAAAAATATATAAGCCTTTTAATTATACTGTTACAAAGTAAAACATGTTTTTTTCTCTTGATTTCCCAAATGCAAAATAACTGGGAGAAGGGGGATATAAATCTGTTCAAGACCCCAGCAGATTGTGAGGCCCTAAGCTGTGTCTTATTTTGCTTATATCTAAATCTGGCAGTTTAGTTACCTCATACTGAGTGGAGTCAACACCTTCAAAAAGTGGTATGTCAACGAGCTGCCCAACTGGAACTGACACATCACTTTTGTTTCTTGGTCCTCCTGTAACTGGAGTGTTGGCTTTCTGGGCTGCAGATGTAACCTGATCGGTAGGCTTCTGAGGTGTGCTTTCAGCCAATGGCTTGCCCAGAGATTCAGAAGATGAATTTCTCTCATTGCTGTCATCTCCCTACACATAAGGAGTCATTTTTAAACAGATTAATCACGGACATTTAAAAAAATGTAAACTTTTTATAACAAGAAATAATATTGTGACAAAGAAAACAGAAACAAGTATTTTCAGGTGGAAAAAAAAAGTAAAGCACCTTATTTATGCCAATGGCACATTGGGCATTTGATGCTAGACCCAAAATTGTCGAGACCAATCAGCACTCCAAATAGCAAACTACTGCCTAGCAAAACTACAACAGCCAAAAAATGCTGGGGTTGGTTTTGCAACATTCTGTAAAGGATAGGCAACTGTCTTTAAAAAAAAAAAAACTTATTTGTACACCGTATAAGCACTTTTATTTTAGGCATCATTCTTTCAGCGTTACTGTAATAGACACTTCATGATGAGTATTAGCACATTGTTCAGATCTTTGTGTTGAGTACCGGCACCTATTTTTCTCGAACAAAAGCCCTGATTACACCACCCACTGAGTGCTAATTCTGATCAATAAAAATGGGTCTAGCACCATATGCCTGAGGCCCTAATTGGTAGAAAGGAGTTCATTACTGACGTTAATGACAATGGGTAGAGAGGGATTCATTACTGATGTTACAAACAATGGGTAGAGAGGGATTCATTACTGATTTTACAAACAATGGGTAGAGAGGGATTCATTACTGATGTTACAAACAATGGGTAGAGAGGGATTCATTACTGATTTTACTGACAATGGGTGGAGAGGGATTCATTAATGACATTACTGACAATGGGTAGAGAGGGATTCATTACTGACTTTACTGACAATGGGTAGAAAGGGATTCATTACTGACGTTACTGACAATGGGTAGAGAGGGATTCATTACTGATGTTACTGACAATGGGTAGAGAGGTATCCATTACTGACTTTACTGACAATGGGTAGAAAGGGATTCATTACTGACGTTACTGACAATGGGTAGAGAGGGATTCATTACTGACGTTACTGACAATGGGTAGAGAAGGATTCATTACTGATGTTACTGACAATGAATAGAGAGGGATCCATTACTGACTTTACTGACAATGGGTAGAGAGGGATTCATTACTGATGTTACTGACAATGGGTAGAGAAGGATTCATTACCGACTTTACTGACAATGGGTAGAAAGGGATTCATTACTGACATTACTGACAATGGGTAGAGAGAGATTCATTACTGACTTTACTGACAATGCATTTACTAGTCTCATAATCAGTAAACAAATGAACAAAAATGGTAAAGTCAGTCTCAGGGCAAATAATGCTTTGGAATGCAACATGTCAGAACTTATTCACATACTTAACAGACAGTGAAGTACATAATAGAGACAACAGTGCGGATATAGATAATTTTTTTCAAGCGGACGAAAGCAGAAGAAGAAGATTCACATACTATAAAATACAGAATGATGCGGAGTAACCATCTCCCATCCTCACTGCCTTTCCTTCTCTGCCAACTTCTAGAAAATTCTAAAATATTATCTTTTCTTCTTTTCTCTCCATACCCGTTTAATCAAAAGTTTAAAACAAGGAGGGGAACTGTGGCAGCTTTGAATCCCCTCATAATTTGCAGAAATCTAATTCCATAATTAACAAACACAGATTGTACTGTCCTCCTCTACAACAGACCAGCTAATCTTGTCTATCGAGATATGGGTGAAGATGAAACTATGTTTCCGAACAATTAAAAAAAGTCCACAAAAGTATATTTAGGCCAAAATTTACAATGATGAAGAAACTGAACATGCCACAAGTTCTGAATGAAAGAGACTGACCACCGTTAAGCAGAGAAGAAGCAATATTAGAGGCCTATGGCACATCTCCAGAAGACAACAGAGAACCTTTATTTTTAAAATATACATCCTTCCTGTGACAACATATGGATGTGAGTCAGTAGCCATTTCACTATAACTAAAAAAAGAAAATATGGGATTTTTAATCTGTTTTAGAAAAATTATTAGTATACCATGTATCAAGTTATGAAATTCAACCAGATTTGAAAATAATAAACAACTGGCTAAAACATAGAATGCATCAGGTCTTAGAAAGTGAAACAATAGCCAATGTCAATTCTGCAGTAGATTAGACAACAGTAATGAAAGATAAAAAGAGAATGCAGGAGTCTTCTAGAAAAATGTCTCAAAAATTTACACAAGATACCCAATATTATTGGTGTATATGACTATATCACATAGTATTATATATGCTATTTGGGCTATCCTCTGAACCTTGGGCCCAAAAAATGACGGCCGCAAAATACCCTTTCGAGCCTCAGTCACGTGACTTAATTTGTGCTTTTCCGGCGACTTAATTAGCGGTTTTCCGGCGACTATCGCTACCGCCACGAGGCCCCCATGCCGCGCGAGCGGCGTTGATGGGGCTAAACTAGATGGCTAGGATGCACGAACAGCAGCTTCCGCATCTCCTGCAACTTTGCTTGTGAGTCCTAGCCATGTAGTTTAGCCCCAATCCATGCCGCGTGAGCGGTGTGGGGGCCTTGTGGCGGTGGTGATAGTCGCATGAAAACCACAGGAAAAGCGCAAATAAAGTCATGTGACTGAGGATATTTTGTGGCCGCCATCTTCTGTGCCCGAAGTTCAGAGGATAGCCGTTATTTGTTTATTATTTACTGATACATTTTTGAATGGGTCAGTTACAAACAATTATCACTAATTACAACAACAAAAAAGTTATTTTAGTCTACACAAATAACCTGGTTTCATGGGTTTCGTTCGTTCACTGGTAATTAGTAATTGGTACATACAACATATTTCACTAACAATGTTACCCAATAAAGAATCTGCGCTTCCTGTTGTGTTGTGTAAAAATACCTAATAAGACGTGTACTGTAAGTAAGCAGTAACTGTGGTGGATTTGATTTAGTCACATTTAGCATTTTATAAAAGTCGAAAAGTATCAGTATCATATCACCACTCCAATGGAGTAGTGATCTGATACTGATAGTTTTTAACTTACTTTTAGTATTTTACTTTTAGGATGTATATGTATATCATTGTATAACATATGGGATGATTTAATGTGGTTACTATCCCCGACAGTGCTTCTACTGCGAATTAAGGAGTTATAATATGAAAGGAAGAATTAGGAAAAGTCTGAATGTCCGTATCCACTGGTCCAACTCGCCCGAGTGTTGGGACCAAACAGGTGAAGCCACGCCTGACGCATTTTGCTTCCCCATTCTGTCGTGCTAAGGGCACAGCTGAAACAACGTTAAAGGTGTCTAACCTAAGATTAAAAAAGAATGTACCTATTTGTGTGGCCACTTCGTCTAGACCGGCGGGCTGCAGCTTTGATCTGAGCTACTTGTAGCGCGGGAAGCTCAATACACGGTTGTTTTAGCAGTAATAGGCAGTACATGATTCCTTCGTGAGCCCAGAACCAGAGCATCATGTGTCGGCTCTGCATTTAACTGCCAAATGGATAATAAATGCCCATCTGCCACTGCCTTCCCTTGAGGGCTGAAAGCTCTACATAGAGCTTTTATGGACAGACATGCCGGGGGCCAAAGTAAAACAAAGAGGACACCACACAAATGAGGCAACATCTCGACCCACACAAAACATTTGGCCATAGAAAACCTAGAAATAGGCTTGACGTCTTCCTCCGAAGTCGGAGTACATCTGCCGGAGAGGCGGGGAACGAGTACTGAACAAATAAGCCAGTAAAATTTGTACTTTCAAAACTCAGGTCGTAAAAGCCAAAAGTCCTTTTGGACGAACAAGTGACTTACCGCCGGAATTCACAGCCGGTGGGAAAAGAAGAAGAGGATTTTAGTACAAAGGAGGTAGGAGGACTAGGTCGTACATAGTAAGGAAGCATAGTTACGTTCTCTGGGCTCACAACTAGTAAACTTACCTTGTGTGGTGAATACCGCAGCTTTCAGGACCTTGAGCTACTCCTTGCTCAAGTTTCTTTTTTAGATTTTTAAACATGTTCTATAAATTAATCAAATGGGTCAAATAACTGCAAATATAATAAAACCACTCCCACTACCTTTAGTTGAAGCCTAACATGACTTTTATGGACAGAATGCAAAGTATTTACGAGGACACGTCTTTATTACACTCTTTGATTTTGAAAACCTCAAATGTTTTGCATCGTTCAGTATTTTATGCAACGAAGAGCTCTTTCAATTCATCTTTCACAACTCACGAACGAGTGTCTGGTGCCAGCTAAGCCAGGTCCCGGAGTCCACGGGGGTAAAACCATGGATTTTCTTTCTGGCAGTACGCAATACGGGTGGAAGCAATTTTTCTGGGCTACGGTAGTAAACACTGTGTGGTGAATACCAGCAGCTTTCAGAAGAATGAATTAAGCAAATCCATTTTTTTTTTTTTTTTTTTTTTTTCCTCTAGAGATTTCCGACTTATGGGAAAACTGGTACGAGCGAGTAATCATTTTAGAGCAATCCATCCACGCCTGGACACAAACCGATCCGCTAGAGACTTCCGACTTATGGAATGACTGGTACGAAGAATGAATTAAGCATGGTTATATCGAGACTTGCACATCTGACTATTGCATTTTTACTTTGCGCGTGCAAACTTCAAGATTTTGCATGGACTGACAAGTTTTTCTCTGGTTTTCAAATATGAAAATAAAGAATATTTTGTGTGACTTCCACTCGCACAGCAACAAGGAAGTTATGGGGGTGACCCGTCTGCAGGTATTTTGGAACCTTGACTAATGTCTCACCCAGAGAGCAAGCCGTGGCTCGCAAAGTAAGCATTCAAACAGAGGCGTCAAGCCTAAAGTGGCATGGTCAAGTTGATTGCATGGCTGCTGGGGTATCAGTCCCTAACGATGCTGGGCCTATCCGCGCTCTTTGTTAAGACTTTCTATGGATGCATGCTCCTGGAGCAAACAGCAAACACAACACCCAATAATGAATGCCAAGATCAAGGTGGCTGTATAGCAGATATAATAGCAGTCGCTTGAACGTCTAGTCGACTTGGTAGACACAATGCTTTTTTGCCTCTTTCCGATCATGGTGACGCTGTCACAGCGACCGTGAATGTCTACAACAAACATCTCTCCGTTTCCGACACCATCGGTACAACGTAACTATCACTCTGTGCAAAGCTGTTTTGCTGGACGACACGGTGGTCAATTCCTCACCATGCACAATTGTGTCAGAAGTTCAGATATGTCTTATAGTGACTTCTGTCATCCGTGAGCTACTTCTTTTCAGCCGGTGTCCCTTGCTATCCCATAAGGCATTGCGTGAAAAAATGATCTCTGCCCGTTGCGACTTAAGGTACATTTAAGACAGTATCTCCATTCATCTCTCTCCACGTTTCTTTGCACGTTTCAAGCTATTTTTCCATTGCTTCCTTACTTTCTGTTTTTTTTTTAACCAGTTCTGCGCTCAGTTCGACTGATACTTTGTATAACAATCACCCTTACTGTCTCTATTTCATAGCTGACAGTGAGAAGCATCGTGTCTTGAGACCCTTGTTTCTACCTGATTTCATATATCGGCCGATCCATCCATCTACTATACTTTCCATCCATCCACGAGTATAACCATCCATCATTTCGTCTATTTGTCTACCCGCCCATCTATTGCACTACCCACTCATCCATTCACCCCACAATCCACGATCTATCTATCTATCTATCTATCTATCTATCTATCTATCTATCTATCTATCTATCTATCTATCTATCTATCTATCTATCTATCTATCTATCTATCTATCTATCTATCTCTATCTATCTATCTATCTATCTATCTATCTATCTATCTATCTATCTATCTATCTATCTATCTATCTATCTATCTATCTATCTATCTATCTGTCTATCTATCTATCTATCTATCTATCTATCTATCTATCTATCTATCTATCTATCTATCTATCTATCTATCTATCTATCTATCTATCTATCTATCTATCTATCTATCTATCTATCTATCTATCTATCTATCTATCTATCTATCTATCTATCTATCTATCTATCTATCTATCTATCTATCTATCTCTCTCTCTCTCTATCTATCTATCTATCTCTCTATCTATCTATCTATCTATCTATCTATCTATCTATCTATCTATCTATCTATCTCTCTATCTATCTATCTATCTCTCTATCTCTCTCTCTCTCTCTCTCTCTCTCTCTCTCTATCTATCTATCTATCTATCTATCAGCATGCCTGTCTGCCGGCCTGCCTGCCTGTCTGTTGGTATTTGTTCGTTAGCGCAGGCACCACTTTTATTCCATGAGATGGACCAATGTCATCCCCACGACCAAACCCGGGTCACGCCTTGTTAGATGGCGTAAGCAGTCCCAAGCCATACTTCATTAACGAAATAATTAGTTGATGGTAAAGTTCAGATCACTCTCTGTACCATGCCCACTGATGACATCCCCTTTAATCACTCACTGTACCATGCCAACTGACGACATCCCCTTTAAAACACCGAATCCTTCCCTTTTCAGGATGAGAGATATGAAAGTTACAGGCCCTTGCCAGCGAATGTCCGTTGAAAGATGGAGCCCGATTGACTTCATTTGTTGCATTGGATCGAAGGAAATTTAATATTCTTGCCTGATAAATATTTTGGTAAAATTTATATCACAAGTATGCAAGCCTGAGGAGGGAGAACAAAAAAACAATCCCGCGAGCCGGATTTGAACCAGCGACCTAAGGATTACTAGTTTGTCTACTACAGTCCTCCGCTCTACCAACTGAGCTATCGCGGGGTTATAGACGTTGTTATTCATTAGTTTACATTCGAATTTGTAGTTCAGGTAGACAGGTAATTGCCTCTACTCCTCCTCCCCCGAGATTGCATTATGTAGGATTAAAACGCAATCGTCTTGATAGCCACAAGTCAAGCACAATTACAGGGATTGAAAAGGTATTTATAGAATGAGCCAGGCGCGCCTCCACAAGTTAGTAGTCAGGGTATCTAAACCCCCTTGCCATGGATTACACATTTTCTGACAAAACAATGGGGGGGGGGGGCTCACTCAGCCTCATCCCCAACATGCCCTCCTCACTACCTAAGCAACAAACATTGGGTTCAGCCTCAGACCCCTTCAGCCCTCCCCTCCCCATTAGGTAAGAAAACATTGAGAGACCCCAAACCAAACACCTCCCCCCCCCCCCCCCCCAACAACCTTACAAATAACCTAGGCGAATAATACAGTGGAGTTTGGAAGAAGGGGGGGGGGGGGGGTCAGATCATTGAGCGCTCCCACCCAATACTAGTCTAACAGCGCTTTGATGCCCATTTAGTCATGTATAGAAATTAATTCGCACTATCATTATACGTATAAGGTATTTGTCCATACATTTCATATTATTTCAAGTATATTATACTTTTTTTTGTGTGGCCATTCACAGCACATAATTATGTTACTGTTATTATTGTGCAAGTAAATATAATCATCAGTTCTCGTTATGCCTAGTGGCACATGAGGCTTCAGATAGGACTTTCCATGCTTTTATGTCATGTGCAATCTTCAGTGCAGTTTTCCATGTCAAAGATGCGGAACTCTGGTCACTTTCCATCGTTCGTCTCCATGTTGTTTTTGAGCGCCCCTGTTTTCTTTCCCTTTGGTGTCCATGTGAGAGCTGTTTTGGTAGGTATATCAGAAGTCATTCTCATAACGTGGCCAAGCCATTTCCATCTTCTCTTGGTAATCATACTGTCTAAAGTTTCTTGGTTTGTGACTTGATGTAGTTGAGTGTTTGAGATTGTATCTGGCCAGAAAATTTTGATAATTCTACGTAGACATGTGTGGTGGAAGGTGGACAGCTTGTGTGCATCCTTTTTGGTCATTCTCCAGCATTCCGCTCCATAAAGAAGAACTGGCAAAATGCTGCGCTTGTAGAGTCGGAGATTTGTTCCTCTGCAGTAACTGTTGGATTTCCAGATTTGCCTCATTCTTCCAAAAGCAGCTCTAGCTTTGATCAGGCGTGACTGTATGTCTTCCTCTGTCCCGCCCAGTAGGGACACCACACTGCCAAGATATGTGAAATGTTCTACATTTTCAAGTGATTGGTTACTTATGGTCACTGGTTGTTGGTTTGGACTGTTTGTCATGATCTTAGTTTTCTTTGTATTTATTTTCAGTCCCACCATTTCTGCTGTGCAGTGTAGTCTGTTACTTTTCTCTTGTATATGTTCATATTTATGTGATAGGAGTGCTATATCATCTGCAAAATCGAGGTCCTCAAGCATGGTGAATGGAGTCCATCGTATGCCTCTTAATGTCCTGTCTACTGTGTTCTTTAGTATTCAATCAATCACAAGGTTGAAGAGGAGAGATGACATAACACATCCCTGTCTTACACCTGTCTTTACTGGGAAAGATGTTTTGTAATTTTTTATACTGCAGGAAAAGTCTTTATAGACTATTTTTTCTGTAATTATAATATGTCTTAAAATTTCCCACAGACCGTCTCTATGGAAGCTGTCAAAAGCTTTCTCAAAGTCCACAAAATTAATATATATACTTCTCTGCCTTTAATTGCATTGTTCTAAAATGTTACGTATGGCGAAGATGTGCTCCGTTGTTCCTCTGCCCTTTCTGAATCCTGCTTGCCCCACTCGTAGGCATTTATCTACTCCTTTTTCAAGCCGCATTATTATGATTTTACGAAATATTTTGCTTGGTACTGAGAGTAGAGCAATTCCCCTCCAATTATTGCAGTCAGTTAAGTCTCCTTTTTTTGGGGATTTTGACTATTGTTCCTTCAGTCCAGTCATCAGGCAACACTTCTGTAAATAACATAATATACTTTAAATAGTAAAAAACGTACAAGTTATAATTTAGTTTTATCTTCAAAGAACATTTATAGACATGATTACAGCAGGTCTCTTAGTCTTCTTGCAATTCTGGCCTAACTTTTGTGCAGACTGTTGATTCTTTTCCTGTCAAACTGGTCTACTCCGACTTCCAAAGAAATACCCCTAAA